AGGTTTGGACAGCTTTTTTCCCTTAATAAATGAAATTATCATTTAAAAACTGCATTTTGTATTTACTTGCATTATCTTTGCGTAATATTAAAATTGGTTTGATGATCTGAATATTTTAAGTGTGACAAATATGCAAAAAATAAAAAAAAAACAGGAAGGGGGCAAAAACCTTTTCACGGCATAAAAAAAAATTAAATATGCCATTAAAATGTTCACAATTTTCTCTAGACGCACCCACCTTTTACAGTCTGTACCTCCAGTGCCAGCCTCTCCTGCAGCTGCTGCTGCTCCCTCTCTTTATGACGGAAGGCATCCTGTTTCTGGCGAATGCGGTGCAGCAGCTCCTCATCGTCTGTGTCTGATGAGTCCGACCCCTTTGCGCTTCGCTCCTCATCCTCACTCTCGTCCGAGCCGTACTCACCCAGCCCTCCTGCAGCAACAAAGCCCCTCTCTTATAATGGACAGCAAGAGCATGGCAATCATAGTCGCACGCTAACAGTCCCTCATTCTCACCCATTCGACTACATAATACTTCACTAAAGCCCACCTCAATAAACAGGAGCTTTGATTCACATCAACAACAGGAACAACATGTTAAAACACAATACAGCCACCACTTTCGCATAGGCAAGAGTCTCTAGAGATGAGGGTACACATATGCACTATTCACAAGAGCTGCCTTTGGCAAAATAAAATAAAGATAAAAAAAGATGGAGAGAAGAAAAAGGTTATCACACAAAGTCCGTCAACACACAAGCAAACAGTGGAGGAGGAAAGAACCAGTCTGTACTAATGCAGTGTCACTTTCGTAATGAGAAGCTGTCTGGCAAACATAGGCGTGAGGAAGTACTTTTGTTTTACAGGAAGTAAATCTAGGAACAGATTTGACTGGGAACCCTTTGTATTTTGCATTTAACTGCATCTATGTGACCATTTTCACCCTCCCTCTGCAGTTTTTGTCTTCTGTTGCATTAGCAGAGAATGGCCGATAAAGAATAGCAATTTTGCTTATAATAAAGTATTACCATGATGCATGTCAGACCAAAAGGCTTCATATATTTATCAGTCAAAACATAACCAAGTCTAATTTCTGTGGAAATGTGGCTTTTCCTCAGAATTAAACTTGAAGGCACAGTTGCACGGACAGAAGGGAACAGGAGGAGACCTTTAGTGGCTTTGCGATGAGTTTCTTTAGCCACCAGGAAGATTTCCTCATTTGTGACTTCAAGGAGGACTTCGGTAAGAAGAGTTTTAGTCATCAGCATCTGTGGGGAGCAAATAGGACCGGTTGAGAAACACAAGTCACAAGTGTGGAAGATATATGCTGAGACCGAAGTGTGTGTGTGAACACACCAACTGAAACTCTTTCTCCTCTTCGGTCATTTCTGGTTCACTTTGGTCTTCTTGAACAGGAGAACTTCTTCCACCAAACTCCAACCTTCTCCCCGATACGCCATCCTCCCCAGCACCATCTTCTTCACCATCCTCATCATCACTGTCCTAAATTAAAGAGGAGTAGGTTATTGGACCAGAGACCATACGCTTGTGGATGACATAAGCGCCGAGAGGAATTATTAGTGTGCAACAGCTAACAAGCAAAGTAACTAAATTTAAAAGACTCCATGAAATCAGTTGGAGTTTTGTGGCTCAGTCAATGTCAGTTAGTCACCTACAAGTTGTCCAAAAAAAATATTTTAGCAGATATACACTACCGTTTAAAAGTTACTAATATATTGTTTTGGTGCTCAAACATATCATATTATCATCAATGTTGAAAACTATTGTGCCACTTAATATTTTTGTGCAAACTGATACTTTTTTTTTTCTCAGGATTTTTTTTTTATCAATAAGAAGTTCAAAAGAACAGCATTTATTTGAAACTGATTTTTTTTGTAACAATGTAAAAGTCTTTACTGTCACTTTTGATCAATTTAATGCAGCCCTTGCTGAATAAAGGTATTAAAACCACACTAACCTCAAACTTTTGAACAGTAGTGTACACATTTTAAAATGTTCCAATTAAAATACATCAACACGAAAAAGAACCCTGTGCTCATCAAGACATTTCATGGGGTCTTTGAATTAAGATAATAACAATCATGTCAATGAGCATTTGTTCATGTCAGCGAACCCTGGGACAACAGTTGCCAAAGTAACCTCAGCAGATTCCTTCGCTGTAAACAGATTCTGAAAAAGATGCTTACAAATTTGCTCTTGCGTGGCAACCGAGGCCCATCACCTTCCTCCACTACCATATCGCTATCTCTTTCATTATTTGCCATTTCAGCACGCTCTTTCTCCATCCTCTCCTTTTCCAACTTTTTCTGCTTCTCACGATCCATCTTTTCAAGGCCTTCTCGAATCCACGCAGGCAAAGTCCTCCGTTTAACAGCATCTAGACCAGGAATCAAGACAATGTCACAATGTGCATCTTTTTATAACAGCAGTTTTTCTTATGCATCTACGTTAAGCAATAATTATATGCACTCTGTGTCTGATGAGTCCGACCCCTTTGCGCTTCGCTCCTCATCCTCACTCTCGTCCGAGCCGTACTCACCCAGCCCTCCTGCAGCAACAAAGCCCCTCTCTTATAATGGACAGCAAGAGCATGGCAATCATAGTCGCACGCTAACAGTCCCTCATTCTCACCCATTCGACTACATAATACTTCACTAAAGCCCACCTCAATAAACAAAGCATGCTTTTTATAATCTGTGTTGCTGGAAGCTAACCATTGAAAAGATCTGCTGCTTGAGCTCTTGAGCTTGTACTAAAGTTCATTAGAGAGCCCCACCCCCCACCCCCATTATCAATGTTGAAAACTATTGTGCCACTTAATATTTTTGTGCAAACTGATACTTTTTTTTTTCTCAGGATTTTTTTTTTATCAATAAGAAGTTCAAAAGAACAGCATTTATTTGAAACTGATTTTTTTTGTAACAATGTAAAAGTCTTTACTGTCACTTTTGATCAATTTAATGCAGCCCTTGCTGAATAAAGGTATTAAAACCACACTAACCTCAAACTTTTGAACAGTAGTGTACACATTTTAAAATGTTCCAATTAAAATACATCAACACGAAAAAGAACCCTGTGCTCATCAAGACATTTCATGGGGTCTTTGAATTAAGATAATAACAATCATGTCAATGAGCATTTGTTCATGTCAGCGAACCCTGGGACAACAGTTGCCAAAGTAACCTCAGCAGATTCCTTCGCTGTAAACAGATTCTGAAAAAGATGCTTACAAATTTGCTCTTGCGTGGCAACCGAGGCCCATCACCTTCCTCCACTACCATATCGCTATCTCTTTCATTATTTGCCATTTCAGCACGCTCTTTCTCCATCCTCTCCTTTTCCAACTTTTTCTGCTTCTCACGATCCATCTTTTCAAGGCCTTCTCGAATCCACGCAGGCAAAGTCCTCCGTTTAACAGCATCTAGACCAGCAACCAAGACAATATCACAATGTGAGCCTTTTATAACAGCAGTTTTTCCTATGCATCTACATTAATCAATATTTATATTCACCAAGAGTAGGCGTCTCTGGTTTAATTCCTATCTGATTGGGGGATCTGGGCCGTTCAGGTCTGAAGCCAGGGAGCCGGTCTCTTCTGTTCTGTGGTCCTTCGGGCCAATAAGGTGCATGAAAGCCAGTGGAGGGTGGTACGTATGCTGTCCCTGTTGGCACTGCTCCATGCTAACAGGAAACAGAAATAAATGTGACTAAAACTGGGAAGTTAGGAGACTGGGAATAACTTTTGATAATCCAGACCCACGTAAGTGTACCTGATAATCAAACTGATTGACGCCAACTGGGCCCATAGGGTAAGGCTCGGGCTGACCACCAAACCCATGATTGTTTTGATGAAAGCCTCCATGGTGTGGGTCTCCAGGAAACTCCAAACTATCTTGACTGTTACTGTCTTCCGACAGGTTGACGACATCCATCGGTCCTTGTCCAGGAGGAATCCATGCTTGTTCCGGAGGGGGAGGAGGAGGCTGGACATGCATTCCCCACTCTATAAACAATCAGCAAATAAAGTCCTAATTTACAAACTGTGTAAAACTCTGCAAGTAAACAATAAGTTCCACGGCAAACTGACAAATGCATCAGCCCTTCTGACTTTGGCATGCATCAAATTTCAAAGATGTCATGTATCATAGAGGAAAAAAAAAGCATTGCATGCAAAATGCCTGTTGATTAGTGATGCGTGCAAACGATAATTAAATGACAAAATTAAAGTTATCACTTGGCTGAAAGCAAAAAAAAAAAACATACGTTTACATTTGGGAAACTGAACTCAACTGATCAGGGTACTCGGGTACCTGTTCAGTTGTTCTCAGGTGATTTATTTATATGATTTAATGCCATGTCAATGGCTATATTCAGGACAAAAACAACTGCATCGCTCAATCAATTTGATTAATACCCTTTCAAAATAATATTTACAATAATTTAAATTTTGTCTTAAAGGGGTCATATAATGCAATTTCAAGTTTCCTTTCTCTTTGGAGTGTTACAAGCTGTTCGTGCATAGATAAGATCCCTAAAGTTGCAAAGACTAAAGTCTCAAACCCAAAGAGATATTCTTTATAAAAGTTAAGACTCGTGCACGCCCTCCTAAAACGCCTCGTTTAAACACGCCCCTACATGTCTACATCACTGTGTGGGAAGATTTGCATAACACCGCCCAAATGTATACACAAAGAAAGAGGGCGTAATTTTTATTCTCACTGTAGTCCTAGAGACGCTGTGATTCGTTGTGAAAGCGAAACTACTTTGTTTGGTCTTCCAAAAGAGGACACAACGAGAAATTAGAGCTTCTTAGAGTTTCCATTAAACCATTACAAAATTCATTTTTGTTTTGGGCATTATTCCAATAGGAATTACTGTTGTTCTATTGGTTGCCATCTGCCAGATTACAAACACCTTTCAGAAACAGAAAGTTTTGTTTACAGGGTTTCCGGGGTAACGGCTGCATTTAAATGAATTATTATTATTATTATTATTTCTGCAGTTTAGCGCCATCTGCTGTCAGAGAGTGAAAGTGCACGTTCATCCAGAGCGTCTCTCACATGTTCCGCAATGTGCTTCTGGTCCTGGCTTATTTACATCAGAGTGCGCACGCATCTTTCGCGCACGCATCTTTCACGCAGCATACAGCGCTGTTGTGCATTTTGACCAGTTGATGGGAAAAGTATTCTTAAAACTCATTCAAAATTCGAAATAATTTGTAATATATAATTATTCACGGTATTTAGAAGTGCCCACGATAACAACATCGTGCATATTCATTACCGTGATATATCGCATTACCGAATACCGAATACAATTCTACTGCAACTCAAGGCAGGCAGTCATGCATATGCTCTGGAACAGAGTAATATCGCGTCCACATCGCAGGCTTTGCGATTAGCAAATCGCAACGTCTCAAATCGCGATTTCGATTCGATTTCGATTAATCGCACAGCCCTAGTGTAGAGTAGAGCTTGTCGTTTGTCCGATCACAAATGCAGACATGGTTTTATGTTTACGCGGCGCAATACGCAACGCAACACATATAAAGACAGTATAAGTCATCATAATATGTAATTATGTCCCCACTGGATGCAACAAATGCCTTTTTTGTCCCCATTCTTTATAATGGGTTTTATTGTTTTTGTCTCATCGCTCCCGCCAGGAGACGGCATCAGTATGGTAAGGGGCGTAACATTTCCGTCACAGGCTTGAGGTATTCAGCCAATCACAACGCACTAGATAGCTGGCCAATCAGAGCACACCTCACTTTTAGGAACGATGAGCTTTGTAAAAATCGACGCGTTTCAGAAAGGCGGGGCATAGAGGAGTAACAATAATGTACAGTATGTGGAAAATAATGTGTTTTTTTAACCTTAAACCGCATAAACACATTTCATTACACCAAATACACAAAATAATGTTCTTTTTAGCAACGTCATATGACCCCTTTAAAAAGTCAACATACACAAAATAAAAATATAAACTAAAATAACAGCAATAACAAAAATAATAGCAGTGGCAATTAGTGTTGTCACGGTACCAAAATTTCAGTATTCGGTACCAATACCAGTGAAAATCCACGGTTCTCGGTACCAATTTCGGTACCAAAGCAAAACACAAAAACATGCTAATTGAACAACATTTTTATTAATAACGTTAAACAAAAATTAAATGTACAAAACCAATGCCATTCTTTATACTTATTTAAAAGTGTTTCAAGTTTTCCCACAAGTAATAAAAGTATGAAAAAAATAAACAAGTTTCACTCAAAAGTTTAGTCGGTTCTGCTGCCACTGAAAAACATCTGTAAACTGTTGTCTGTTTTAGGGTTTGCTGGTGTGTTTCAGGATCTTCCTCAGTCTGCAGCTGTAAAAGGAAAATATAATATACTTAAGTAAAGCAATGGGCTGAGTCTGACCAAATGCAACATAAGATCATTGACACCACCTAAAATATAACTTTTCAGTAAATAACAAACCTCAGCTTTTATAATAAATTTAGATAAGATTACATATATTAAGTGTATATCAAATAGATGGAAACTGTAGTATTAACACAGTTCATTTAAAAGCCTCTGGTGTGTAAAAATAGTAAATACCATTATGTCCTCCTGTTTTTTACAGTAATAAAAGTTATAGGAGCATTAAATAGTTAACAAAGAAATCATTTTGAACAAAATTAATTCTAATGCTCATTATAATAGCGTTAGCTGTGCTTATGCTAACGATTAACTACGTAAATGCTAATGGCGATGTTTATTTCAATCCGAAATTCTAATTAAAATATGGAATAATATTCATAACAGAAGCTCTAAATATTAAAAATGTAATTGAAACTTACCTGCTTGAACTTGATCGGGGTGTTTTGTTAGTTTGATGCGTTTCCTCCTCTTGAGGTCGCCACTGCTTTTATGAAGAGGTTGCCAGGTTTTCACAACAAAACCCGCCCAATCGCGTTTCGAGGGGTCCCCCGTAAAAAAATCGCATTCCGAGGATAAAATACGCTGTTTTGGCGGGGTTCCCCTAGTAAAATTCGCATTCCAGGGGCTAAATATCACGTTAATGATGTCGTTTTTCAACCCGCGGACATGAAAAACAACCCGCGGCAACAGTGTTAAAGTGTTAAAGCAGCCCAATTCCGCGGGAAAACCGCAGACTTGGCAACACTGGAAGAGGATAGCTTTCGGATAGCGCATCAAGAACCGGGTTGACCGGGTACTCGGTACCACCGGTACTTAAAAAAACCTGGTACCGTAACGTTTTTCATTTTTTTAGTACCGACTTGGTACCAAAGTACCGGGTCTTTTGACAACACTATACACAAAAATAATAAACAGCTTGCCGGAATACTCAGTTGTTATTGGTCAGTTGCACACTCATCTACACTCTTAAAGGGGTCATATGATGAGATTTAAATTTTTCCTTTCTCTTTGGAGTGTTACAAGCTCTTGGTGCATAAAGAAGAT